CTAGAGTGATGTGTTAGCGACGTTAAGCCTCTCGTCGAAAAGTCATACTTAGTCGAACATTTTTTACTAAGTCGTCAGTGAAGTTCTGTGGGAGTTGGAACACTGGAACTAGAATCGGAAAATACATTTAAGAACATCATAAGTGGACTCAGCACGAAAAACAAGGTCAAACGGGTCAAAGAAAGTCAAAAGGTTCAAGAAAAGACAAGAAGGGTTCGAGACGGCACGGTGCAACGCGTGCTGGCTCGCTGGCATGGACCGGGCGTGGTCTGGTGTGGGCAGGGTGCTAGTGGTAAAGGCCGGACTCACCTGGTGCACTGGGGCATGTACTGACGGCACTGGGCGTGGAGCTGAGGGTGCTGGGGCGCACGTTGGGGTCACTGGAAGCACGCTGGTCATATGTGATGTAGATCGCGTGTCCCGATAGCTTGGTTGCCTCAAAATTGAGCGCGCGAACAACTCCTACTCGGCGATTGACGCAAAGTCTCGGTGATTACCTTGTCTTAACGTCGGTTTGAGACAGCTCATAGGTTAATCCTTGTCAAACTCGGACTTATGTCGAACAATGCGATGAACGCCCTTTTCGGCACAAAGATTTTGCGTTAAACTCGAAAAGAATTAGAACACAAGAAGTTGAACAAATGTTCGGTTTTTTAATAATATGAATGATGATCCAAAACATATGAAACATCAAGTAGTTAAAGGGGAAATCTAAATCTAGTCCTACTCGAATTAGGCTTTTAAAATCCTAAAGAAAGTAAATATCTAGAATCCTAACTTACCCAACTAATGCACCTAAATAATCTAGGAATATTAATAAAGCATCTAGAAGATTCTCCCAACTTGATCGGCAAGCAACCCTAGCCGTCGTGTTTGGCTTGTGCGCGCGTCCCTTGCCGCCGCTTCACTTCCGCGTGGCTCTTCTCAGCGATAGCCCCCGAGAGCGTCATCGCACTCGCCCGCATGTTTGCAAGCCACGGGCTTGATCGCGATCCGTATATGTGCGCTATTCTCGCGCGCGCTCACCCGCGTCGATCGCATTAGCCTCTGTAGCCCGACGCACCAACTGCTTGCGCGCATGATATGCCCAACTTGCCATAGTTTTCAACCTTCTAGCTGCATCCTCATCATTTCCGTCCCTTTCAAGTGTTTCCTTGTCCTCAAGGATGAGACTCGGAAATCTCTCGTGCATCTCGACTAAGTTATCCCACGTTGCTTCTTTCTCTAGCAAGTCCTCTCATTTTACCAACACTTCCCAAAGAAACGTCCGACTTTCTTTATTTACCGATAGCTCAATGCTCGATTTGGACTAACAAGGATTTGCCCATCAGGCGCCGTCGTAGGTAGCCGATCACTCAACTTGTGCGTCTCGCCCAAACTTCTCTTAAATTGTGAGACGTTTATCACAGGGTGAATGTGGGATTCTTTCTGCAGCTCGAGTCGATAAGCTACTTTGCCGACTCGCTTAAGTACCTGATAAGGTCTTTAGTAGCGGACCCCGAGTTTGGATGCTCGATCTTGCGCGGCTGCGCACTGTCTAAAGGGTCGCAACTTCAAGTATACCCAATCACCCGACTCGATCGTAATTTTTCTCGCGTCGGCCTTTGTCATGGACTGACTTCATGCGGTTGATGGACCCATCCAAGGTTCTCTTTAATTCTCGGATCATCAAGTCTCGTTCCATGAGCTCGCGTTCAACCTCGTCGTTCACTGAATTTCCCATCGAATAACTCACCAGCGTGGGTAGCTTGCGCCCGTACACTAACTCGAATGGCGTGGACTTGGTTGAGCTATAATAGGTCGTGTTGTACCAATATTCGGCCCAAGGCAAAAAATCCTCCCACTTCTTTGGAAATTAATGTACATAGCACCTTAGATATTGCTCGAGAGTTCGATTAGTCACCTCGGTTTGTCCATCGGTTTGCGGGTGGTAGGCCGAGCTAATGGCCAACTCCGTGCCGTGCATCTTGAAAAACTCCGACCAGAAGCTGATCATAAAGATTCGATCTCGATCGGACACAATCGACCATGGAACCCCGTGCAGCTTCATCACGTATTCTACGAATAGCCTCGCAATCGATCTCACTGTGTATGGATTCGTCAATGGTACAAAGTGCGCGTACTTCGTCAACCTCCACCACGACCATTACTCCGTTAAACCCGTTGGACATCGGCAGCCCCTCTATGAAATTCATCGTAATATCCTACCAAATACGCTCGGGTACTGGCAATGGATGCAACAATCCGCTCGCCCATTGAGAATCCGCCTTCACCCCTTGGCACTCGTCGCACCACGCCACATTGCACGCACGTCGCCTTGTTGTTCTAGCCAATAAAATGTGTTAGAAAATCTTACCCACATGCGGTATACTCCTGAATGTCCTCCAAATTTGGAGTTATGGAAGTGCTTCATGATCGTTTCCCTTAGCTGCCCGGTACTTGGCACAAAGGCACGTCCTCGGTAGAGCAATAGGCCGTCGTGGTCCTCGTACTCCTCGGTCGTTATGTTCTTTACCTCCATATTTTGGTGCACTTCTTGGCACACCACATCTTTTTCCAGAGCTTCTCTCAACTCGTCCCAAACTACCCATGTCAGCCTGGATATAGCTCCTAGCTCGGCGACGTCCGTCTTTCGCGAGAGTGCATCCATGTTTAGCATAATAATGATGGGCAAAGGATAACCGAGTTACCCGACTCGGGTCGATCTCGAAGGAAGGCTATTCGGAGCTTCGTCTACTCTATGATCGTCCAAATCACAAAAATCGAAAATAAAGTCCTAAACATTCTAAGCAATTGATCGGGGGATTGATTATCACTAGACGAGCAATTAATTAAAAACAAGATGAAAGGACGAGCAATTCGCAATCTAGATCACCGGAGTCTCAAGCCATAAC